AAAAATTAAAATGCAATAAAAATCAAATTTTGTTAAAAAATTCCCAGAACCTAATTTCCTAGCAATCTTCCCAAATATTATTTGGAAATTTATTTTTGAAAATAAAAATTCTACAAGAGTTGCATTTTGGAACGTCTCAAGTGGACGAATATTTCATATCGCAAATATCGCAACAACTATTACTCAAATCATCGAACATTTTGGAATATTTTAGAAACAAAGCATAATGTGTCGTATTACAACACCTATATTAAAAAAATTCGAACACTTTTAGAATAAAACATTACAATTGAATTATATATTTTTCTATTAAATAAATAAAGTTATAATTACCTTTTGGCCAGCAAAGTTCTAAAGCATTGCATTCACACGTGAGTCATCAGTTAAAAAAAAAATTGTCCAAATTTTGGTCCACATCCTTAAAAGGTTGGTAGGAGTATTGTCTTTAGTAAATTACACTATAGTCAAGACCTTTGCAATAGAAAAGGGGGAAACGGCTGGAAAAAATAAAAAATGAGTTAGTGCTAAATCTGAACATATTTTGACCTAAAAATCATATTTGGCATATAAAATAAAATTGATTTTTACCGGCAGTTTCCCCCTTTTCTATTGCAAAGGTCCCATATATGTAATTTCTCTTGAAATGCACACCCTCTTTAAATGCACAATTTTTCAAATTTCACTATGGTCCCAAGGGGGTAGGTTTGACTGTATTCTTAAAAGTTAAATTAAGAATTAATAAAATTAAAAAAATAAAACACAAAATTAAGCAGAAAAAAGATCACTGCCTTTTCCAATATGGATAGGTTAAAAAAGAGCGACTTAGAGTCGGTTGTAGAACCGATTCTAAATTCTGAATTTACCTGAATTATAAAAAATATTTACCAATTAAATAGTCGAACCTGAACCAAACTCCGGACCGGCTCAAAAGATTCGGCTCTAATCGTATCGTCATCAAATTAAAATACAGTAGGTAAATACCGAGTTTGTTTGTCAAAAATTTTTTATTGATCGATCTTAATATATTTTAGGAGAGTCGAATTAGAACCGAAGAGGAACCGAAATGAGATCTGTCACCATCCCTATTTCCCGATGTAACAATCAACCCAAGTGGAAGTGCACCCGTAGCACAATTGCTATATAAAGTGAAATTGAATTATTTAGAGGATCGAAGGATCAGATGCATCCATATAACTAAGTTCACTTGCTTGGGGTACTCTTTAATGTACACGATTCATGAGATTTGTTATGATACAAAGAATAAGCGGTGTTCCGACACATACATTGTATTCATATTATACAGCTCCTCCATGACCAAAATTATTTTAATCTTCAACAATAAACATGGATTCTCCATTACGGCTTTCAAGTGCTTCCTTTCTATATTTCTATATTGCTGAAAAAGTCCTCAAATATAATCTTAGCCGGAATTAATAGTCCGATCTGCAAGATTTCTTGAACAT